CTGTTTTTCAGAGAAATAAATCCTATAGCTCTGGAAGAAAAGCAAATTTATTCTAAGAAAAGGCCCTCTCTTTGCTCAATTACACGTTTACTTCTTTTCTCTTGGTATTTCATAAAACTATGCAGGAATCCAAGAAGATAATACTAAACGTTTACTGCTAAAGTTTTAGCTTCCAGACCACTCATGCACTTTATGTTCTTGCATGGATCCCTCAAATTTCTCAGGGAAGTAAATATATTGTACCATATACAGTAATACAAGTAAGGCCCAGAGAACAGTGATTCGCTGAAAATCTCAGTGATAATATGAGAGCTCCTAGAGATTTGAACACTGGTCTACATAACTCCAAAATCTGTATTCTTTCTACTTTGAGGTTGCCAAAGTATGTTTTCTCCCAAACCTATGGTTATATATTGGTATAGGACATGTTAGAGATATTAGCATGGAAGACTTGTAGGTATGGGACCTTTTTCCTCTGTTAAAAATTAAGATGTATGAACATACTTATGAGACAAAACAATTAGAATTAAATTGTCCCAAGAAATTCCGAGAGTGATCTGGATGGGGTGTGGCCAGCAGATAGGAAATCTCTGTGTTTTTTTTTTTTTTTCCTCTCTCCCCTTTCTCTCTGGCACTTAATAAATAAAAGAAATACATGGAACAAAGTTTAAAAATATTATTATCTGGAAGATTTTATATTTGAAAATTGGTTGCAAAATAATTATTATTCCATAAGCTCTTTTAGAGATGGAATTTAATTCTCTTATTCACCTGGAATTTGGGTGGGATTAAAATTGCATCTACAAATAGAATGCAGTTGGGCGACTTTGCTTGATTTCTGATACTGATGTGGGATGAAAAGTAGGCAACTAGATAGGTCTGCTGAGCAGGAAGTCCAGAAGGCACAAATGTAATTCTATCTTCTTATTTGACAATCAAAATATCCCTTTCCCAGGATGCACCTGCTTCATCTGGGACCTAAGGCAGGATACTATGAAAATATGGAGATTAAGCTCTACATGGAACCTATGGAGGTATCACAAAATTCCAAGGTAGCTTCATTCTTGTAGAGGTACCACCCACCCCACCCTTTACCCCTGTCTCATAAAAGGAGTCAGTACTGGGGGAGGAAGGCTCTCTCACTATAGACCATGCTAGAAGTCCTGCAGAGGTACAACCTCCTTATCTCTCTTTTCCTACCCCTCCTTCCTTTGGGAATTCCTCTGGGTCATTGCCCACTTAAAACGGGTATTTCTTTGCATGGGGCAACCCTTGCTCATGCATGTATGTGTGTTTACTTTCTCACCTTTTGAATAAATTTTGTTAGCACTTTGTGAACCTTATACATGCCTGCATTTAGAATGCTTGCCTTTGTTTGAGAAAAGGACCAAGAGTAAAAAATTAAAACACCCTAGTCCACATCAGTATGAGCTCAGAACAGTCCACAGTCTACAATCTATCTCTTGGGATACATGTTCTGGAGAAAATCAGAACATGTAACTTCTCTATCTGCCTTTAGACTGTTGTGTTATAAGGAAGCCCAAACCAGCTCACATGGAGAGACTGAATGAATGAATCTGCGTGGAGAGGTGTGTCATCTCCAGCAGCTGTTAGTGTTCACTGTGTTAGCTTCACCTACTGTGTGGCTTCCAGTGAGTAACTCTCAGCTAGAACCACAAGTGAATTTTTTTCTGAATTCCTGACCTACAGAAATCATGAACTAGAATGAGATGAGTGTTAAGTGACTAAATTTTGAAGTGATTTTTCTTGTATCAGTAGAAAACTGGAGCAGAATGTAATGCCGAAATGGAATGCTGACATAACAAAAATCCCAGTGTGATCTTGTGATTTGGACCAGTGGCGGACAAAGTCTTTTAGGAAAAGACTATCGATGCAATCTTGAATTGGGTTGAAAGGGTGTGGGTGTGAGCTGGAAGGTTCTTGTGGAAAGTGTTAGCAGAAGCTTCAGGGCCTCACGAATGCTGTCTGGGCGTGTTGAAAGCAAAGTGAGGAAAATGTAGTTGGAAATTAAAGAGGAAATCCTTGTTATGTGGTGGCCAAATTTTAACAAAATTCTTGCATGTGTGAATGGAGAGCATAGAATCTGTGCCTACTGAACTCGGTTGTCAGTTTATGAGATTTCCAGGCAGAAAGTTTAGGGTTCCACATGGCTTCCTCTCACTGCCCGTGAGAAAATTATGGGAGAGTAATGAGCTGAAGAACATATTATTCACCTTTGAATGAAATTTACAGAAAATGTGAAGGATTTAGACCAGTGTTTCATATAGTAAAAAGTTTTCTAAAAGGACTTTAGGAAAAAAGATTGAAGGCCTGGATAAGGCTAGAATATTCTTTGCAAGACCTCAGAAAATTCTAAGGACTCATACAATCCATGTAATATATGAAAAGTCCCAGAATCATCCAAATGAGTCTTTCCTAAATTCCTGGCCCATAGAAACCACCACAAGAGAAAATAAAATGATTACTCCAATTTGGAGCAGTTGTTTATTGGAAGAGATGATAGAAACATTGCAATGACAAGAATAGTGTTAGAGTCTTAAGTACTAATTTTTTATTTAAAAATGATCTTAACCACCAGGGAGTAGGGTAAACATTATTCTTACATTGGATATTAAAATAAATGTAGTTTTCTTACTTCACTTCAAAATAAAAAAATACAAAAACTTTCTGCTTAAAGATGAAATCATATTTTATTTAGGTGTTCCTTTCATTATTATATCGTCATTCAAGCAGGATGGAAATATTTTTAGACTGGAGAATTTAGCCTTCACATTATAGATGTGTGGCTATGACACCTTTTTTCAGAAAGATGGGTGTTACCGATGGGGTCCCATAAAAGATTGTTTTCATTAAGCACTTAATTTTCACTCAGAAGCAAAAGTTTCCATATAAGCTTTCACCATGACTTGTTGAGAGAACTGACTTTAACTTTCTTAATAAAATTAAATATGAAAGATGGCTGATACTTTGCCCTTCATCAGTAATTGATAAATATTGATTTAAAAATAGCAATTGAAGATCCATGATAAAATTCATATGGCATGTGTAATTTAAGTACTATGAGAAGGGACTATACTGTAGGACATTATTATATCTAAATGTACTATAGGATTGTTCTTCACTACCCCTTTTTTCTTCCTTCTCTTCTTCTTTTTCTTCTATTCCCTGATATGATTTTAAAATAGTTTTATTTGTGTTAGGTCAAAATGTTATTTCTCTCTTCTTTGCCATCTGTTTATCATTTTATACTATGTAAAGTGCTTATCCTGTTTGTCAGCTATATTTAAGAAGAGTCTTCATTGTGTTAAAAGTGGGTTTTCTGGATTATTATTTCTGATTTTAGAGATTTTACACATTATTGTGGGAAACAGTCATCTACTGAGCTCATCATAGTAGTCTTCACAACATATAAGACAAATTAATAATGTTCTTGAGACCACAGAAAAGGGAATGATTAATATTTTGGGGCTGAAGTTGTGGCTTAAACAGTGGTGTGCTAATACTGGCATGTGTTGGCTTGTGAGAGCCGGATTTGAGCATTTTTTTTCCCCAAATGGTAGTTCTTAAGTAAAAATCCAAACAGAAACTTTCAATACCACTGTTATTCACAAGAATGACTTTTGTTTTGGTTATTATAAATAAGATGACCTCTTTTTTTTTCATGGAGAAATCTAACTCCAAACTGTATGTAAGATGGCTATTGTAAATAGATCACCTTTCAAACATGCAGCAACAACCACCAATACAAAAGCCTTGGAATGGATGCTTGCTTGCTTGTTCTATTATTTCACTACAAACAGCATAGAAGGCAAGAGAAGTTGAATGTTTATTCTGAAATAGAATGGAAGTTGTCATTGTCTACACTAGTACTCCTCACTTCTCTGCTGCCATTTTTAGTAAGTTTTCTGTGTAAATCTTGGGGTGTCCATCCATCTTCTCTGAGAAGAAGCACTTCAACTTTTGCATTAGTTGGATGGTGGACTCCATTCTGCTACCAAGAAGTGCATGGTGTTGCAGTGACACCTCCTTGCATTCTGATTTAGATCCGTCACTCATCCGAAGTAGTCCCCAGAGTACAAGAGCTTGCCAAGACATGGATCATGGGTAAAACGGCAAGCAGCAAACCAATAATAATACTGCGTCTCTCTCTGGAGTCTGGTGCTCTTTGGCACTTCTACACCTGGCCATGGTGGAAGGGATGGTCTGGAAACCATTGCTCTTCTGTGTATTTCCATTTAGCTGGTGCCTTGATCAGCTAGAGGCTGTCACTGGAGTCAGTGGTGGGGTGGTGACAGGTGGGTCACAAACTTAACCATTTTAGTTTTTTGCTTTTCTTCCCTTGTAGATCAGGCTCTTGGTCCCAATGCAGGCAGTGGGAGGTGATTCTCCATTTATCTCCCTGGAGAGCCCCTCCTCATTCAGCCTATACTAGGACCTTGAAAATCTTGAGTGGTGGAAATGCTTCAACCAAGCTGGGCCTGAGTATGATTTGATAAACTGTCTTTTAAACCTAGCTTTAAAGGGTCAGTAGGAGGAATTTTTTGTTTGTTTTGCCTTTTTTTGTTTGCTAGTTTGAAAGGGAAAGAGCCATGGTAATTACTGATGCCATATATTAGGTCTTACTATGCTTCAGGTACTGTGCTGAGTACTTTCTGAGCTATCCCAATTAATCCCCCAAACATCCCCACCCTTGCCCTCCCAGCCTCCCTGCCCCCCCCCCCCCCCCCCCCCGATTGTAGATATTGCCAACTCCATTTTACATGGGAAATAGGAGCTCTGGGATTTGACGTCATGTCTATGAGACTCCACTGGTTTGCCAGTACACTTTACTGCCTCATAAACAAATAAGTGGATATCGGCAAAGTTGGGGAGTGGGCTGTGTTTTATAGAACTCCTTATTTCCCTTATCACTACTTTGACATAGCCTGCAGTTTTCTAAAATTAGTATAGATTTCGTTGGCTGAGGTAAACTTACTCACCATGAAGACTCATTGATTCTCTATTACAGAATCACACAGCCTTTGTAGTTTACTCAGAATATTAGATTTTAAGACAGCTGTGAGTGTAAGTTAAAATTATAGATGTAGAATGTCGATTGAAGTTGTGACCTGTCTGATGTTTTGGACAGGGGAGGTGAGGTGCCCTGCAAGGAAGGGGAAGGAGTTAGAAGGAATTAATAGGCAGAGACAGCCTGAGATGAAATATTGCAGCATGTGTAACCAAAAAGGGACTGGTATCTGGAATATACAAGGAACTCCTTTACATTAGTGAGGATAGCACAGGAAAGCCTGTCAAAATTAGCTAAGTGCACGAGGACACAATTAACAGAAAGGGGAAAAATTTCTAAGATCAATGAGTATGTGACACAATGCAGAACTTTGCTGGAGATCAGAATAATGCAAATGAAACAATCCAGCCTCTAGTCTCCTCAAAAAAGACTAGCTCACAATTTTGGTTAAACTAATTCTCAGTGCTTGTATTAGTATGACTGTGTAAATAATATTCATATCTATGATTACACTTTATTTGATTCATAGCTTTTAAAAACGTCTCAATTGAGGTATAATATGCAACATAATACACTGCACATTTAAAGTGGAAAATTTGATAAGATTTGACATGTTTACACCCATGAAACCACACCATAATCAAGACATTGAATGTAACAATCACCCTCAGAAGTTTCTTTGTACTCCTTTGTAATTCCTACTTAACTGTCTATCACTCAGTAGGTGGCAACTAATAGGCTTTTTTCAAAATTTATTTATTTATTTGAAATTCAGATTTACAGAGACAGAGGGAGAGAAGAAACAGAGAGGTCTCCCATTTGCTGCTTCACCCCATTGCACCCCAGATGGCTGCAATGGTCAGGGTTGAGCCAAGCTGAAGCCAGGAGCCAGGAACTTCATCTGGGTCTCCCATGTGGTAGCAGCAGCCCAAGCACTTGGGCCATCTTCCATTTGCTTTTCCCAGACCATTAACAGGGGGCTGGGTTGAAAGTGGAGCAACTGGGATACGAACTGGCACTCATATGGGATGCTGGCATGGCAGGCAGTGGGTTTACCCGCTATGCCACAATGCTGGCCCCAACTACTAATAAGCTTTTTGTCATACAGACTAGCGTGCATTTTCAAAAATTTTGTACAGTAGAATAGAGTATGTAGTCATTTTTGGCCTGGCTTCTTTCACTCACTGTGATTATTTTTAGATGCATTCATGTTGTTGTACTTTACAGAACTTTATTTTTGAATTTGTTTTGGATTTTTGCTGAATTGTCCTTCATTGTTTGTACATAGTATAGCTTTTTTAAATCCATTTACTCATTTGTTGGATATTTAGGTTGCATTTTCAGTTTTGGGCTATTACATGTAAAAATGTTATGAACAGGCCGGCGCCACTGCTCAATAGGCTAATCCTCCGCCTGCGGCGCCGGCACACCGGGTTCTAGTCCTGGTCGGAGTGCTGGATTCTGTCCCGGTTGCCCCTCTTCCAGGCCAGCTCTCTGCTGTGGCCAGGGAGTGCAGTGGAGGATGGCCCAAGTACTTGGGCCCTGCACCTGCATGGGAGACCAGGAGAAGCACCTGGCTCCTGGCTTCAGATCAGCACGGTGCGCCGGCCACAGTGTGCTGGCCGCGGCGGCCATTGGAGGGTGAACCAGCGGTAAAGGAAGACCTTTCTCTCTGTCTCTCTCTCTCACTGTTCACTCTGCCTGTCAAAAAAAAAAAAAAAAAATGTTATGAACAGTCATGTACAAATCTTTGGGCATATTTTTTTTCATTTCTTTGAGTATGTATGTCAGGGTGGAATAGTTGTATCACATGGTAGGCAGATGTTTAACTTTGTAAAGAAAATGTCTTGCTGGCGCTGCGGCTCAATAGGCTGGTCCTCTGCCTAGCGGTGCCGGCACACCGGGTTCTAGTCCCGGTCGGGGCGCCGGATTCTGTCCCGGTTGCCCCTCTTCCAGGCCAGCTCTCTGCTGTGGCCAGGGAGTGCAGTGGAGGATGGCCCAAGTACTTGGGCCCTGCACTCCATGGGAGACCAGGAAAAGCACCTGGCTCCTGGCTCCTGCCATCGGATCAGCGCGGTGCGCCGGCCGCAGCGCGCTGGCCGCGGCGGCCATTGGAGGGTGAACCAACGGCAAAGGAAGACCTTTCTCTCTGTCTCTCTCTCTCACTGTCCACTCTGCCTGTAAAAAAAAAAAAGAAAAAAAAAGAAAAAAAAAGAAAATGTCTTGCAAAATGTATCATTTTACATTCTTAGCAGCTGTGTATGAGAATTCCAGTTCTTCCATATCCTTTTTTTTTTTTTTGACTGTACAAACACACTTTATTGGGATACTATTTGGTTACTTGATAGCCTGACCTATTGTGAAATGTTCCCTTTCTATTAAATATATAAAGTACTTCATATTTGAATCCTTAGTTGTAGCTATCTTTTATATGTTAGATATGTTTTACACTTACACTGGAACTCAGTCAGTCTTCTCTCACAATGATGATTTGCTTGACTAAGGAAATCTATAGTCTTTCCTGATGAGAATCAAATGTCACTGTGGAAGGGAAGTCATATAGTTGGGATTAGCATTGGAAGACGGCACGTAGTAAATTTAATTCTGAGATACCTACAATGATTAGATGTCAGAAATATTCTCCCATGGATGGCTACACTTATTTGAAAGCATGAGGGTGTGTCCAACGGACAGGGGCCAGCCTGAAAGAGCTGCCAATGGCCAAAGCCAGAGCAATTTGACCAAAAAGATAAATATTGTATCAGATTAAAACCCAACATATAAGCAAGTATTCATGAGTCCTAAGTAAACAGATGAGGAAGGCTGGTGTTGTGGTGCAGTAGGTTAATCCTCTGCCTGCAATGCTGGCATCCCATATGGGCACTGATTCTAGTCCCAGCTACTCCTCTTCTGATCTGGGTCTCTGCTATGGCCTGAGAGGGCAGTGGAGGATGGCCAAGGTGCTTGGGCCCCTGCACCCATGTGGGAGACCCAGGAGAGGCTCCTGGCTCCTGGCTTCAGATCGGCCCAGCTCCAGCCGTTGCGGCCATTTGGGGAGTGAACCTGTGGATGGAGGACTTCTCTCTCTCTCTCCCTCTGTCTCTCCCTTTCACTGTAACTCTACCTCTCAAATAAATAAGTAGAATCTACAGAAAAAAAAAACCACATGAGAAGTAGACAGTCTCACGGAAGACCAAGCGCTTGAGGGAAGGCTCCCTCCTGAGTGTGGCTGAACTGCCAGATTTGCGTCCACAGAGTACAGAAGGCCAGCAGCGGTGAAGGGGACTCCACAGTGAACACACGGCCTCCTCCAGGGGGCAGGGCTGACATCAGCAGTGGACAGGGGGTGGACTCTTGGGGTCCAGGTTGACATCACCAGTGGTGCGCCTGTCTTCTGTTGGGTCCAGGTTGGCATAACCAGTGATGAGCCTGTCTGGTGTTGGGGTTCAAGTTCGCATCAGCATTGAGGAGCCCTGTCTACACAGGGGTCCAGTCCCTTGTCAACAGCGATGTGTGTGTTGACTCTTAGTCTCATGCACCCTTGCTATGATGTGGTGAGAAGACATTTTGCTTGGTGTTCTTCATATATAAAGCCCATTATCCAAGTCCAATCATGAGAGAAAGTAAGACAAACCCCAATTACAGCACACCTAACCAGGCTTCCTCAAAACTCCCACAGTCGTCAAGAACACGGGAAGACAATCACATAGGTAGGAGGAGCCTAGGGAGGTGTGACATCATCAGAATTCAGTGTGTGGTCTTATTGGATCATAGGACCAGGAATGACAGCCAGAGAAACAGTGGGCTCAGAATCACCTGTGGGGTTTAAAATAGTGTATCCTATTGGTTCCTTAGTTGAGACAAGGGCACCATGGCAACAAAAAATATTAATGGCCAAAGAAATGAGGTGAAGGTATACAGAGATTTTACTTGTTCTCTATGCAAATTTTCTGTAAGTCTAAATGATTCTAAAATTAAAAATTTATCATGAAAACTAAAAAAAAAAAAAAAAACAGTCTCTGTAAATCCATCTTAGCTGGAAGCTGAAGACCACTCGTATAGCCTTTTCCTTTCTCTTGAGTAAATACTTATTCTATTTCTCCTTTTGATTTCCCTAGCTTTCTTCATATTTCTTTCATTGTTAATTTGGCTTCAAAGTCAGAAATACGAATTTCCTCTATGTGTTCAGACACATCAGGTAATCTATCAGCCTAACTCTTTTCCTAGGGCCGCCTTTTCTGAAGCTTTCCTTCTTCTTGTTTCAGTGTAGGCTTGCTGCTTTTTGTTTCTCACTTGTTGTTCTGAGATTTCTGTTAACTGACGTCCTACACATTTCCCTCTGAATTTTAAGATACTGTGCCATTTTCTGGAGTCCAATAATGCTGCTGAAAAGTCTGATGACATTCTAATTCCTAACTTTTTGTTTTCAATTTGTTTTTGTTTTTTGGAGGCTTTGAGGATCTTTTCATTAGTGTCATGATCTTTTTCACTGATGTACTAAGCAGCTCTTAAACTAGAAATTGATATTTGATTTCTGAAATCATCATTTAAATTTTTGGGAGCTTTTTAATCTTTTTTATTGTATGTCATTCTTGTTTTATGAGTTAAATATCTTATCTCTTTGATGATCTTATTTTCACAGTTTAAAAGTTTTAGTTTGTTTCAGCATTGATCAATGTCCTCTGAACTCCATTTTTCTTTTTAGTTAATTTTGTCATAATCATCTATATCAAAAATTTCTCTCCAAACAATTGACAAATTTTGCTGGTTCACAGTTAAGAAAGAGAGACTAAAGCTCTGTTTGTGTATTTATGTGTATATGTGTGCATGAAGGGAGTCTGTTGATTGATGGGCTTCTCTGTAGGCTATTTGGCTAAGGAGCACACTGCTTTATTGTTCAGACTCAACTCTGAGAATGCATATCTTCTGTTTTTACATGGGCAGTTTCCCCAGGTAGTTTTCTAGGAGTCACGTTAACAAGGTCTGTAAGTAGTCTCACTATTCAGTATGTAGAATTTCACTTAGTATAGTATCACTGCCTTCAGTTGTGCCCAAATACTTCTATTCCAAAGTTCCCATGACTGAACTTCTCTGTGGACTTTTGCTGGGATGAATAGACAGCGTTTGAGTTAACTGCTTCTTAAAGGAGTGATGGCTGATTCTATTTTCAGTCCCACCAGCACCCCAACTTTAGGACTATGTGCTAGATCCAACTCTTGAGACTTTTCCTGGTTCTTCAAAGGTTGCATCCTGTCTTTTCCCTTCAGGCATTTAGTTTTCTCTTATCATCTAAGTTAGCCACGATAAGTCCATGTACTTTCTACTTTCCTAAATTTAGTTGACATCACTTTTTCCTATTCCCTATTCTTTTTGTTCTATGGGTTTGTAACAATAACATCACTTTAATGTAATTTCTAAAAAGATTTATTTATTTATTTGAAAGTCAGAGTTACACAGAGAGAGAAGGAGAGGCAGAGAAAGAGAGAGGTCTTCCCTCTGCTGGTTTGCTCCCCAGTTGGCTGCAACGGTCAGAGCTGCACAGATCAGAAGCCAGGAGCCAGGAGCTTCCTCCATGTCTCTCATGTGAGTGCAGGGGTCCAAGGACATGGGCCATCTTCTACTGCTTTTCCAGGCAATAGCAGAGAGCTGGATCAGAAGAGGAGCAGCCTGGACATGAACGGGAGCCCATATTCGATGCTGGCACCGCAGGCAGAGGCTTAGCCTAATACTACATCACAGCACCAGCCTGGGTTCTAGTCCTGGTTGGGGCACTGGTTTCTGTCCCGGTTGCTCCTCTTCCAGTCCAGCTCTCTGCTGTGGCCCGGGAGGGCAGTGGAGGATGGCCCAAGTGCTTGGGTCCCTGCACCTGCATGGGAGACCGGGAGGAAACATCTGGCTCCTGGCTTCGGATCGGCGCAGTGCCAGCCGTAGCGGCCATTAGGGGAGTGAACCAACGGAAAAGGAAGACCTTTCTCTTTGTCTCTCCCTCTCTCTCACCGTCTAACTCTGCCTGTCCAAAAAAAAAAAAAAAAAAAAAAAAAAAATTACTAGATTGAGAAACAGAAAATTGTCAGTTCTCCAGGATCTCCCTTTATGCTAAAAATACATTGCTAAGAGTCTCCATCACATCACAATATTTTTCATTTTAGTGCCCCTCAAATATCTTCAAACTTATTTTATGGTCTCCTGAATGTGTTGCTTGATAAATAATCTGAACAAGTCCATTTTCTCTAAATTTTTCTGCTATCCATTACATAGAAAAAATATTCATTGTTGATGCAGGGCAACATGTAACAGATCTTGCTGAGTAAGCTTTACTTCAACTAATCAACACAATGTTTTGTTAGGAAACACTTGTGTGCAGGCACAACTTGACTTTATCTAAAAGAAACTTCATCTAACACAGAAAATTGTTCCTCTCTTGAGATATTCATTCTGTAAGACTAATTTAATTTTCCAATATGATTTCTTTTTCTCTGATTTTAGAAGGTTCTGGGGAAACACTGAAGTTAGACTGTGATATAGAGCCACTATAAAATAAGTTGAAAAGTAATATTTCTTGGTAATATCATTTATTCTCCACTTACTAAAAGCTCAACACTCTTCCTGTACAGAGGCCATAGTTTTCTGTGAACCAGAAAAACTATAAATTTTGCCAGCTGGTTTTAACTGAGAAGAAATATCAAGAAATTCCTCCTGTGGGCTCTATAAATGCTGAGATAGTGGACTGACACATGAAATATAATAAGTGTAGTTATTCATGCTTTTTTGCCCTCTCAAGCATGTCCTAATGATTTGTTATTCTACTCCATTTATAAATAGCCATGAAGTAGATTCTTACTAAATGAGAGGCCTGCTGTTTTTTCTTATGTAAAGTGTCAAGTGAGCTGAATATTTTGGGGAACATAAATCTTTGTTTGGAACCTAAGTAGAGACCACATTAATGATTTAGCATATGAAGGATGCACTGGTTATTAAATTTTGTTCTACAATTAGTTTCTTTGTTCTCTTTTAGGAATTAAGTTGAATTGGCATCTTTTTTGGGAATTTTATCATTTGAAATCTAAAGAGAAAATAGGAAAAATAAACAAGAACATTTGCGCTTTCTTTCCACATATGACTTTGTAAATTTCTGCAAAGCATGAGACCTTCTTTTGTATGAAAAAAGATTGAGGGATGAAATTTCAAAATCTTTTAGTTCTAGTACTGTCCTGTGTTGCATTTAATCTATAGCAGCTTTGTGTTGCCTTTTGTAACCTATTGAAATGGAACATACAAAATTTAATCTCAGGAAAAACAATTCTGCACATATTATATTGGAGATTTTCTGACCTGGATTACCATTAGAATCCCTTGGACAATTTGCTGAATAGATTCCTATATTCTTCTACAGGCAGTCTGATTTTCTAGACATTTCTGATAACGCATTTGGTTCTGCTCCTGTAACACTGTTGGGGAAAGGGACCTGTCATAGTTGCTTCTTACTCTGAAGTTCCAGCATTATTTTCATTGCATTGCTTCCTTGTACCACAGAATAGTGATCTTTTAAGCTATAGCACACTTTCAAGGAAGGAATAGTGGTAGTTAATTTAGGGGTCTGGAAATCAGTGAAATAGAATGGCAGGCTGGAGAGTGGAGGCCATTGGCATCTTTTGCTACAGATCTCTTGGCAGCCACTGGGCAGCTAAGAGAATTGGAAAAGAAATTCAGAGAGTGCGGGTGGAGGGCACCTGTGAAGAGGCTATTTCCCCTTTCTAATCCTTTCTGTAGCAAGTCCACATGTGTGTAGTCACTCATCCCTCACCTCAGCCAGCTGCTTGAGGGGTTCTGCTCAAACAGCTGGAGGCAGTCCCAATCATCCATCAGTGTGGCAGCTGAGTATGCTCCTGAGGCCTACTTGGTGGGGCTTAGGTTAGCTCCAAGTGCACTGGCTGAATTCATGACCCAAAGAAACATTTGAAAATACAGGGCAGAGGAAAGTACACCTGGGAGGAGAGTCAAGAGACAAAAGTTCCAGTTCCAATTCTGTCATTTATTAGCAAAGTGACTTTCCGAATGTCCTTGGACATTGGCTTTTTTTTTTTTTTTTTTAACCCCAACAAGGAAGGTTGTACTAGATAATCTCCTAGGATCTGTTCAGCTCTCAGTCTATGTATCCTTTCAGGCAAGAATCTGGTTTTTGATAAAAGTTCTGGTGCCTAGTATTGTCAAGAGTCTGTTGCCAAATGCTTTTGATGAGAGTCTTTCTCTTTAGCAGAAAAGTGTTTTTGCTGAGGTTGATAACATTTTTCACATCTCCTTCTGTTAAATACTGATGCATTTTTTGTTTTTACACACTAGTTATTTTGTAAAGTCTAAAGTTAAGAGGCTATGATTTGGAAATGTGATATCAGTTGCAAACTAATCACTGTATTTCTACCTCTTTGAATAAGGAATGAAAATTTTCTTGAAGGATTGATAAATTCCCTGATAGTCTCAAGATTTTTGTTTTAGTCTATTTTCTCTTAATATTACAGCTATTACTACTATTGGTATTCTGAGTGATAGATTCAGAAGTAAAACCTTGTATTTATTCTCAGGAATAACTGATTGTTCAAACTCAATTTGCCTCAGTAATCTGATGTTCCACTCAAAATGTGTATTCGTTTCCTATGTTTCCTATCTTTTAAAAAGGAATATCT